TCTGAGGTGTTCATGGTTGAGGTACATCCGTTTGTGTACCATAATATCTTATGCAAGTCGCATAATTACCATAAATTTATAATGTATCCTTTGGAGTTCAAAGTTTACATACATGTAACACACTATCACAATTCTTTTGTCCACTTTCTTCACTGAAGTTGCACCTTAAAACTTACCCTCCCCCCCTTCCCCAAGTATGTTTATTACAAACCTGATTTCTACGTTCCTGCCAGTTGTTTCTGTTGGCAAATTGTTTCTGCAATTTACGATGGAGTCTGTTGTCACGAGTCTTCAGCAAATTCTGCATCCCAGCTTGTTGACGTTGCATCTGACGCTCTTTATCATGTCGATTATTTCTCTAAAAAATAAAAAATTTTATGTTAATGTTGTTCATATGAAAAGGAGTAATTTAGATGAAGAAATTTACAAATATAATAAAGAAGTGATTATATTTTGAGACTTAAAAGTATAGAAAAATTTTCTATTGTAGGGCAATTCCACGACATAGACAAAACATAAGAGAAAAATCTTATTATAGTTCTTTGTGAAAAACATATCAATAGTTATAGATAATGACCTCAAGTGAATAGAAATTGAAGCTTGGGCTTAAAAACATCAATTCTGAGAATTTTGTAGGCATGATAATTGGTGGCCTCAACTCAATAATTATGCGGTCACAATATGGACGACATTTAGGGATAAAAATTTTGAGTGTTAAATGTTACTGAGAAGGTTGATTTCAACAACAATCAATTGAATAAGTCTTAAGATGTGATAGGATATGTTTAAATCTAGGTTACCACGTATATGTAACATAATTACACTCATCCATTGAGGTGCCTGTAATATGTAACGTTAGTCACAAAATGAATATAATTTTTATCTTCTTTAGAAAATTACTTAATAGAATTTCTAAAAGACACTTTGCATTATAAATTTATACTCTTACAGATACAGGGTATAGTAAGTAAAATTTCATATAAAAATGGAAGGGTGAAATATTATAGCAAAGAATTAATAAAGGTTTTTCGCATCAAAAAATCCTTCAAATGTAACGTCAGTCACGTGGAATTGCCCTGTACCTGATTGATTGCATGTAAACAGACTTGTGTCAACAAGATGGAAAGTTGATTCATCTTCTTCGTGATAATATGCATATTAATTACCACCACCAAATTGATTCAAGTATTTATCTATAGAAGTAAAACAATATGATTAAACTGCATGAAAATAGTGAAGTCTAGACAGAATACAAACTTTGGTATCGACGATCTTGATAGGCTGTACTTGACCAATCAGAAACCTACATAAAATGAAAATGTATGTTATAAGACCTATATTTAAACAGTCAATACAAGAAATAATATTTTATCCTCTTATAAGTGTAGAGTGGTTTTTTAATGATGAATACATAACAATGTTTTACAATAATAGCTAGTAAAATATGATTATAAATTTCACCACGTGACACAAAAATATAAGAACAACTAAAGGTCAGAGTGGAAGACATTGATAGCAAGGAATTTCTTATGAAACATAAAATATTTTACCCTTCCAAGTTTATCTCCTTTAGAGAATGGTTGATAAGGTATTCCGTTAAATGCATCTGAAATAGAGGTAGGACCCCAGCCGTTTGGGTTATCTTCAATGACAGGAGGAACAAAATGAATTCGTGATATATGTATCACATCCATTTTCTGGCATATACAACCACAATTACAACCATCAAAATGAGGGTCTCCGCTGACCAAAAACGTGCCTAGCTCTGACCTAACGACAACTGGACTACTCAAGTAGAGAAGACTCCTAGCTAGACATTGCGCATTGGTGACACATGACAAAAGTGGCGTTTTATGTACTTACTATAATAATATATAACCACGCTCGTAAAAAATTTTATTAGAGAGACATTAATAGTTTAAGTTTAAACGAGTGATAAGAATGCTAACAGTGTTAAAGTGTTTAGAAAAATGTGGTAGAAATATAAAGTATGCCAGTTTTCGGCATATATAACCATGGTCGTAAAAACTTTTATTAGAGAGACACTGTTAGTTTGTGTTTAAACGAGTGATGAGATGGCTAACAGTGTTAAAGTGTTTAGAAGAATATGGTAGAAATATAAAGTATGCCAGTTTTCGGCATATATAACCATGGTCGTAAAAACTTTCTATTAGAGAGACCTTGTTAGTTTGAGTTTAAACAAGTGATGTGAATGCTAACAGTGTTAAAGTGTTTAGAAGAATGTGGTAGAAATATAAAGTATGCCAGTTTTCGGCATATATAACCATGGTCGTAAAATCGTTTTATTAGAGAGACATTGTTAGTTTGAGTTTAAACGAGTGATGAGATGGCTAACAGTGTTAAAGTGTTTAGAAGAATGTGGTAGAAATATAAAGTATGCCAGTTTTCGGCATATATAACCATGGTCGTAAAAACTTTTTATTAGAGAGACATTATTAGTTTGAGTTTAAACGAGTGATGAGATGGCTAACAGTGTTAAAGTGTTTAGAAGAATGTGGTAGAAATATAAAGTATGCCAGTTTTCGGCATATATAACCATGGTCGTAAAAACGTATTATTAGAGAGAAACGGTTAGTTTGAGTTTAAAGAAGTGATGAGATAGCTAACAGTTTTAAAGTGTTTAGAAAATGTGGTAGAAATATAATGTATGCCAGTTTTTGGCATATATAACCATGGTCGTTAAAACGTTTTATTAGAGAGACACTGTTAGTTTGAGTTTAAACGAGTGATGAGATGGCTAACAGTGTTAAAGTGTTTAGAAAAATGTGGTAGAAATATAAAGTATGCCAGTTTTCGGCATATATAACCATGGTCGTAAAAACTTTTTAATAGAGAGACATTGTTAGTTTGAGTTTAAACGAGTGATGAGATGGCTAACAGTGTTAAAGTGTTTAGAAGAATGTGGTAGAAATATAAAGTATGCCAGTTTTCGGCATATATAACCATGGTCGTAAAAACTTTTTATTAGAGAGACATTATTAGTTTGAGTTTAAACGAGTGATGAGAATGCTAACAGTGTTAAAGTGTATAGAAAAATGTGGTAGAAATATAAAGTATGCCAGTTTTCGGCATATATAACCATGGTCGTAAAATCGTTTTATTAGAGAGACCTTGTTAGTTTGAGTTTAAACGAGTGATGAGATGGCTAACAGTGTTAAAGTGTTTAGAAGAATGTGGTAGAAATATAAAGTATGCCAGTTTTCGGCATATATAACCATGGTCGTAAAAACTTTTATTAGAGAGACCTTGTTAGTTTGAGTTTAAACGAGTGATGAGATGGCTAACAGTTTTAAAGTGTTTAGAAAAATGTGGTAGAAATATAATGTATGCCAGTTTTCGGCATATATAACCATGGTCGTAAAAACTTTTATTAGAGAGACACTGTTAGTTTCAGGTTTAAACGAGTGATGAGATGGCTAACAGTGTTAAAGTGTTTAGAAAAATGTGGTAGAAATATAAAATGCGCCAGTTTTCGGCAAATATAACCATGGTCGTAAAACTTTTATTAGAGAGACGGTTAGTTTGAGTTTAAACAAGTGATGAGAATGCTAACAGTGTTAAAGTGTTTAGAAAAATGTGGTGAAATATAAAGTATGCCAGTTTTCGGCATATATAACCATGGTCGTAAAACGTTTTATTAGAGAGACACGGTTAGCTGGTTTAAAGAAGTGATGAGAATGCTAACAGTGTTAGAGTGTTTAGAAAAATGTGGTAGAAATATAAAGTTTGCCAGTTTTCGGCATATAACCATGGTCGTAAAACGTTTTATTAGAGAGACCTTGTTAGTTTGAGTTTAAACGAGTGATGAGATGGCTAACAGTTTAAAGTGTTTAGAAAATGGTAGAAATATAATGTATGCCAGTTTTCGGCATATATAACCATGGTCGTAAAACTTTATTAGAGAGACACTGTTAGTTTGGTTTAAACGAGTGATGAGATGGCTAACAGTGTTAAAGTGTTTAGAAAATGGTAGAAATATAAAGTATGCCAGTTTTCGGCATATATAACCATGGTCGTAAAAACTTTTATTAGAGAGACACTGTTAGTTTGAGTTTAAACGAGTGATGAGATGGCTAACAGTGTTAAAGTGTTTAGAAAAATGTGGTAGAAATATAAAGTATGCCAGTTTTCGGCATATATAACCATGGTCGTAAAAACTTTTTACTAGAGAGACACGGTTAGTTTGAGTTTAAACAAGTGATGAGAATGCTTACAGTGTTAAAGTGTTTAGAAAAATGTGGTAGAAATATAAAGTATGCCAGTTTTCGGCATATATAACCATGGTCGTAAAAACGTTTTATTAGAGAGACACGGTTAGTTTAAGTTTAAAGAAGTGATGAGAATGCTTACAGTGTTAGAGTGCTTAGAAAAATGTGGTAGAAATATAAAGTTTGCCAGTTTTCGGCATATATAACCATGGTCGTAAAAACGTTTTATTAGAGAGACCTTGTTAGTTTGAGTTTAAACGAGTGATGAGATGGCTAACAGTTTTAAAGTGTTTAGAAAAATGTGGTAGAAATATAATGTATGCCAGTTTTCGGCATATATAACCATGGTCGTAAAAACTTTTATTAGAGAGACACTGTTAGTTTGTGTTTAAACGAGTGATGAGATGGCTAACAGTGTTAAAGTGTTTAGAAAAATGTGGTAGAAATATAAAGTATGCCAGTTTTCGGCATATATAACCATGGTCGTAAAAACTTTTATTAGAGAGACACTGTTAGTTTGAGTTTAAACGAGTGATGAGATGGCTAACAGTGTTAAAGTGTTTAGAAAAATGTGGTAGAAATATAAAGTATGCCAGTTTTCGGCATATATAACCATGGTCGTAAAAACTTTTTATTAGAGAGACACGGTTAGTTTGAGTTTAAACAAGTGATGAGAATGCTTACAGTGTTAGAGTGCTTAGAAAAATGTGGTAAATCTCATAAATCGTGTAAATAAACATCGCTTGTATTTCCTACTTTTTAGAGGAGAAAGACCGCTGAGATTATCAGGATGTTTCATTTCAAAAGTGGGGATGTACACACCTGAAGAAATGAATAAATATGAATGTGTGCTAGTGCCAATATGTGAAATGTAAGGGTGGAAGCACTAATTTTTTACTGTTTCATGATGCAAAGGCCAACCTGAGCCAACTCCATGTTCATTTAAAAAATATAGGCTGCATTGGTGGCTCATTGCATACACTATTAGAGCAGGCAAACTCTATGTGTTATGCAGTATGGGGTGGAAAAAAAGTGAAGTTGCATCCAGTATACGAAGGTATATGACGTACATAACAATTTACTTGAAGAATGAAGTGTATCTGTATCTAACATGTTGACAAAGTGAATGTTTCTAGCACGTCTACACAAATCATTTTTCTTGTGAAAAAGATATTTTCAGCATGTGAGGCAAGAGCAAAGATGGCCAGAAGACATTGCTCTTATTTCCCAACATATATATGCCGATTTAAGTACTTATATTTTACAATGGCAACAGATCACGCTTATATTGTCACAAAGGGATAACTTAACTATTGACGTATGTGATACAAGCAAATGGTTATGACTGTGGCATATTCGTGACAGAATTTGCGAGAAGAATAACAGAGGGGGTAAAGTTGAGAAAAGATATCATGATTCTTAATCACTTTGTTTACTCTGTTCATATAAAGATAGTGTTCTTTTTGATAGGGAGAAGTTGGTCCTGGATTACTTGCCGATATCCATGTAAATAGTAAAAGACCATACCTTAAAAAACTGATTCGAAGCTTTGCCATTTAGCGAAGCAATTTGTAATGAAGCAGAATTTAAGTTTAAAGCTGGTGCAAATGAATAACATTCTTATATTTATAACAAGTGATGTAAATAATTTTTTTACAAGTAACGACGTTACATATAATTGTTACTTTTGTAGAAACTATATGGGTAACTATGAAGTAACATGTTGTACAGATAAAACTATTCATAAAAACAAGTTTAAATTTTTCGAAAAACGAAACTATAACGCGTTACTAATGAATAACACGACTAAGAGTGAGAAAATAGTGTTTGTAGGCTATTTCTCTCTCAGGATTGTATTTAACAATGCGTAACATATTCCTGTGCCAAATATGGAGTTTTGTAAAAAGAAAAAAGTTATCGTATTCCATGTAAAAAACCATGGAGGCAAGAGGCTTAATAGACGAATTGCACTGTTCAGCAGCTTGGCTATTGTACATATTGAGCATGGGGTACAATTTCATGTTATATGCTGCATCTCGGTTCAAACAATACTCGTGCAATCTGCAGGCATTATCGTAAATGACCAACTCTGGCGCTAAAGAAATAAAAATACATAAGCATATCATCAGGCACATTCGGTTATGTTACTGCACATTCGGTTATGTTACAACTCTGTCAGGCGACTAAACCGTCACGCAATCTGTCCGATTCACTGATAATACTCAGTTTGTAGTACCATAAACGGTACACACATACGTAACTTACCATCAGGAAAACGTGTTCGTAAAATGGTAAATGGGATATTTGGTGATTCGTGATCCCTCATTATTTCGAATCCATAACATATACCTGGAAACAAAAACGAAGGCGCAATATCACTTACTGCAATAGTAAAACAAATTTTCGTTGGAGCTGTTCATCATGTAAATACCGTGGGGACAAAGAATACAAAATATTCCAGGGATCAAAGTGCCATGCTTCTTCTTGAGTCTAGTGACTTTGGCACAATCTCACTGCTGTGTCTTCCTATTGTCAAGAACATAATTCCCTCGTTGAACCAGTTCTGGCAGACAAGGTGAATATCCATGGGACGAATTTTGTGACACTGGCAAACGCCACTGACCGTCCTTGACCTCGAACGGACTTATCGCCTTTTGTACCAATTCCTTTAGCAGCGGTTGAATAGTAATTGGAATTTCTTCGCTAGTCTCAATGACGTTAAACAGTAGGGGCACTTCTTCATGAAGAAGTTTTAAATCAGTCGAAGGATTGTCTTTTAGATTGGCTCCATCAGACATCCTTATCAAGATGTCCAAAACTTCTTCTTTGGGGGGCACAATTGCGCATACTGGTTTGTCAGAAGCCAATGCTGCCAATAACCTTCTGCACGAGTTTGGACAAGTAGTGATAAATCCTTGTTTCTCTAACCATTCAAATAGAGTCCTAAGCCCCTTTGAAGATATCTATAAATACGAGAAATTGTAGTATAAAATGAGCTCTGCAGTGGTCATAGAAAATTCTGTACTCGTGGGGTAATAAATTCTTCTTACTTCAGATTTTAATTCTTGAAATTCGTCCCAACTTAGCTTTGAATCACTGTACTTCTTCAATAAAGCTCGCACATTTCTCCTGTTGATGAAATTGCGCATTTCAAACCTAGTATTGGACAAAAGAAAACAGGTTGTTATTTTTATAACTATAAGCTGTGTACAAAAACAAAGTGAGAGAAGTCACCATCTTGCATAAAATGCTTTCTGATACGTAGATGAACACTCGTATTTACTAATTAGCAAACCTGTATATACTATATATTACAGATAAACTTCAAAAATACTTATCTTCCATCTAGCAATCCAGTATCAGACTCTCTTAAATTATTTGGTAAGAAAGTTTTCTGTATGAATGATCATATCTTCATTTAAAGTTTTCTGTATTCCAAGAGTTCCATCCATCACCACCTTTTGGGGAATTCTTCCACATAATTCACAAAAAAACCCATTGTCAAAATCAATATCAAGCAACCTTAATAAGATAAAAGTCAATAACTTAATAAAACAAGCGATCACTATCTCAATGGAATATTCATATTTTACAGCTGAAAATGAAATGATGCTTACCGTATCATGGCAATGATAGCGAGACGAAACTTGGCGTAAGTTATTTCCTTTGGGAAATTAAAATTACCCGAAGACACTTGCCTTTGTACATACGCAACATAATATTTGTACATAGGTAAACTGAACAAGAATAAAAAAGAAAAAACATTCAAAAGAGATAGGGCGAGAAAATTAAATAATGGACAAACGTAGCTACTAATGCTTCGGCAAATTTTCATTAAAAAGTACCTCGAAGTTATGAAAAGCCGAATGTAATCTTTTAGAACGGCATGAGATATTACATATGATCCAAACCATACAATCCTGTTTTCAATGCCATCATAATGCTTTTTCGTAGCACAAGAGGAGCAAGGTCTACAATATACTAAATAATTTATTTAAGTCAAATAATTATGAAGCAAAGCGTAACCTATAACAAATCAGAACTTACCCTTCACATCATGGATTGAATAAAAGTACGCAACTGAACACACGTCTACGTACAACCATTCATCTTGAATAGAACGTTTATCCCACTCTGCACCACAAGAACAAATACCACTTTCAGATGGCGCCAAAATTATGACCATTTTTTTCAGGAAGATCAGTAAAATCGCTTGCATCATTCTCATTGCCTAAAATAATTAAATTGTAATATTTACAAAATGCTAGAAAGTGCTAAATACCATACCGATAAAGGAAATAGTATATGTAAAGCTAAAAGGATGTTCACCATTGCAGATTATCTTGCATACCTGTTTCAAATAAAGAAACCTTTTCTTTGCTAAGTGTAGCCAATTCAAAATAGTCTCGCATCTCTGGTGTTATTCCAAAGGAAAACTTAAAAAGTACCAATGGAGAATCCATTTCATCCTCTTCAACGATTTGCATGGCTTTTGCAAGGGTTGTCACATGAATGCAATGATATGACGAACAGCTGCAACATTTTAACTCGGGCTGGGGCAGCGTTACTTTTGAATACACAAAAGTACAAACCCCCCATGGACTATTCACTGGTTTTACAGCAATCCACTGAACCTCCCTGCACACTGCACTAAACAATTCCTAAAATATGTAAAATCATTTATCTTAAGGTTGTATTATGTGTGTGTATTTATGTGTGTGTATGTGTATGCAGATTAATAATTATGATTAATTATGACTTCACAAAATCCTTAGAAAGTGCTTAATATATATATCAGGCACGTAAAGCAAATGGTGAATATGACTTTACTATTTTTATCATACATTTAGTATATACTACTTAATGTATGTAGTGTAGGTATGTGGCTATGTATGTATTTGAGTATAAATGTGTATACCTCAATAGTCATAAATAAATTCAATTTGCCCTGTTGGCTATCACCCTAATAGCTTTATAGAAGCTCCTGAACTTAGGCACAGGATGTACGGTAACAAATTGTGGGGTATTAGAAGGTTGAGAAACTATACATGTATTTGTACAAAAAAGTTATTTTCACATAACAAAATATACTTCTTCAGGTTAGGTTGCATCTCATGGTAGGAATGATCACTGAAAACAGACTGCATCATGGATGTGGATTCTGCATTCATAAAAGAAATTGGATGAGATAAATATGTTGTGTAAATAATCATTCACAAGTTTTAACAATATTTTTGCTTGTAAAGCTGTGCTGGTTAACGTCCACATGTAATAAGAACAATGTCGAACAAGGGTCTTGTAAAAACACAGAAGGATGACTTCACAAGGGTTTGAAATGTACAATAAACTGATATTTAAGGATGAAGACATTTCCTCCCATACAACATGAAGAACTTTACATTGAAAAAATAAGCCAAATACAAATTTGAGACATTCACTTCATGCAATGTTAGATTAATATGTAACAAGTTCTCACATCTTTGACAAGGGTCTTCAAACAAATAGTATGTAAGTGTAAGTCAAAATTTGGTGAAGCTGTTCAGACACCTTATATCCTGAAAGAGTAACACACAACACTTACTTTTTTCAATAAAATCTTTGGCTTCAATACCAAACTTTCTATCATACACAACCAGATTTTTTTCATTGCTAATATGTGTATGCAACTGGGATATGGTATATCTGACAAGTACAAAAATGTTGTTTGGCCTGTTTTAATAATTTCATATAAGTAACATCTATTTTACATACCTTTTTGAGGATCTAATTGTATATTATTAGGTAGGGCTTCAACAAATTGCTTTCTACTTGCATCACATGAACAGCACAATATCCAACCGTAGCCATCAAGCAATAGGTGGGGATATCGAAGAACAAATACAAATGACTTATGCTGAAGAAAAAAATACATGCAGATTATAGCACCAAAAAAAGAGTATTGAGTAATATCATTTAGTTGGGTACATACCCAACATTGAAATTATGGAAATAAAATTTGACATCACCACAATTGTTCTTTTGTTTGCATTATAATCATGAACAACAAAGGATTGCTGACGTGATACATTTGATGCAAAGTCAAACTGTAACAATAGCCCAGTATAGTGGCCAGTGGGTGACAAATGACTCTGAAAGAGAAAGTATACAGTAATTATTAATGTTCACTGTTTCAAAAATATCTATTGTAATATATTTTTATGTTTGTTGAGCACATTTCTACGAGATGTTAATAAAGTTTTGCTACACAGTGTTTCATGCATAAGCAATCAACAAGCATATTGTCAATTTATAACACATTAAAAACATGACTAGTGGTAAACAGTATAAAGTATAACTGTATAAGTGAGAACTACTTGACTATGTTGACATGGTTGTTTAGATTCCTCTGTAATAATAGAGATAGATTGCTTGATAAAAATATCTTCAGAATCCTACAAATAAAGACCATTATTTAATTTAAAATGTGTACAGACTTTTAATAAGTGTTGAAATAATGCATGCCTTCTTTAAATTACTTCAAAATTTTTAGTTTTTCTAGTGAAAGCAGTCCTACATATAACCATTTCCAATGACTTTTCATGAGAAACAATATCAATATGTACATTAAAACCTGTGTTTTGGTGGTTAACTCTTGGTGCTTGTCATAATTTTCAGCAATATCTTCACTTTGTTCATTCTACATATAAATGAAAAAAAACCATAAACATAGCGTATTTTTATATCTACATAGTTTTACAATATATGTAAACTTACCAAATCCCAAATTCATTTTCTTGTTCAAAAATTGAGATTCATATGACACACTGTTATTCTATTAACATATATGACATTGTGATTAAAGGATGTAGAGAATCCAGACTTGAAATGGAAAATGTGCTCAGAATAATGGTTTTCCTTACACAACATTGTGGGCATAAATAAATTTGTACACATACTTTTGTTAATAAAACTGTGGTAATAAATATAAATTAATATGAAATTGTGCAACCAGAAACAATAAAAAGAACACTTTAAAAATTCCTACCGCATCATCTTTTGTGTGTTTCCTTCCTCTCCACGTTATTGTAAAAGAAGTCATTTGAGCGTCTGAATTTCTTCCTGAATTGATACATTTTGCAAGTGTACCCAAAAATAATACCCCGATTTATAAAACCAGTACTAGAATTAGTCTAAGTACCATTCTCCCAGCCAGACTTCTCCGATAGATATTTAAAAAAGTACTAAGCATAGTACTGAGTGACTGAGCCCTGTTGATCGATTTCCTTGCTTCGAACTTTTGATGTTGCAAACTCCTAAAAAGTATGAATACACGAAGAAATATTGTTCTCATACATGAACTTTGAAACATGTAGTAAATGGAAGCCCTGAAATTTCTTTTTTAAGCTGCACCAGTCGGATGGTTGTATTTGTGGTTGTATATGCCATTTTACGGCAGCGAAACATACCACAATTCGTTCAAACGCCATATTGAATATTGACTAGTTTGCATGTTTCCATCAGTCAAAGGTAGAAACGTCATCATTGTTTGTGACCGACGACCATACCGACGACCCCATGACAATTAATACCAATTTTTCGGAAATCATTTTCGGCATTGTTTTACTGAGAAAGCAAACAATTGCCTCAAAGCTTTTGCCAACTTGCCAACATTCAATCATGGTTATGCTTGAATTGCGAGTTACAATGAAAAGGATCATCAACTTTGTCTATGGAATTTTCCTTGTTGTAAGTTTGTAGAATGTTACAAATGCTTGACTTTAATGTACTTTCGCGATCTTTTATTAGAAGAGGAAAACTCGCTATTTGCAAATTTGATGCTGTAATAAATTCGCATTCTTAAAAAAAGTTTGACCAAATATTGCAGTGGAAACTGTGAACATGTACGGAATGGCACTGGTATCTTGTTAAGACTCTTCAAGATGCTCTTTCCAACATTCAGATTTTTGGTTGTGACTGAGAAGCAATCCACGAAGGTGTCTTCAAGTTGCATAATGTAATTTAAATAGCACGATGAAGGAGCAGTCAGCCCACCAAAGTTGAGTTCTTTATATGCCTTGAAATAGCAAAGCAAATTACCATCATTGTTTATGTTATTTGAAGTCAAATTGTTCTTTCATTGGAGACAGCTGTGGATTTTGAAAGCTTTGCTTAGCAAATATCCTGAAACATAGGCAGCAGCATTTTTGAGCAATAAATTGTTGCTAATATTTTGTTCTCAGTAGTCATTTTTACCAATCAACAGTGAGTTATTTGGAGCTTTTGCATGGGTAAGTGGCATACTAAATGTTTGGGCTTTTTTTTTTATAATTGTGTTAGCAGAGTGTGTATATCTTTAGAACAGTTTTCTTTCGAAGAGGTCAAAAGTGAACTGAAAAAAAACTTTCAAAAAGCCCTGATAAATTGTATTGGCGTGGGATTGTCAAAATTACCTCCTTGCTGGCGTATTGTTCCAAAAAATTCTCTAGAGCATCTGTGTTTAATCTTGAACGTCAAATTTTTCACACGGCCACGGCACAGCATTTCTCATACAGGTCTCGATAGAATTGTACACATTGGTTGTACATGAAAAAGCATAAAAATATGTTGATTGTATGTTCTCTTTTCAGCACGATACTGAGGGTAGGTCTTGATTGCGTTTATTAACAACAGCTTTGATTTGGTCGTCTCAGGATAAATATTTCAACTTTTCAAGTAAAACGCCAAGATTTTTGAGTTGTAAGTTTATCTTGCTGCCATCGTGGCGGAAGTAGCGCATGCGCATTAAAATTTAGGACCGCATTTTTGCTAAGTGGCCCTTCTGTTACTGATCTTTGTATGTCTTTGTACCAAATAACAAACGACGCAACGTATCAACTCAAACGATGCAGATATTTGACGCTTAATTCTTCAGAACGTTGAATTTATCTGAAAGATTGAATGTTCAAAGCTCCAACCGTCGACCAGCAAAAGGTTTGTAAGATAAAACATAAAGAATTATCATGTGTGTTTACGATGTATAAATGTGACCTTAAATACAAAATGTTTGTCATATTTAATTAATATATTTTTACTAAATATTAGTCCCACCTTAGTACTATGAAATATACATCATAGATACCTGTAGCAATTTGTAATCCTATAATTGTATACCAATCAAACGAAGTTGCAAAATACAAACAATTTACTTACGAAAAATAATTACTGCGATCAAAAGGAAGGCCTGTTTATCGTTATGTATTTGTTTGCCAAGGAATTCAAAGTGCTTGCTAGCATGCAATTATATTCATCTTTGGGTCCGGACGGTATGTTTATAAAATATGTGTTATTTCATTATACTTGTGATCAGTGGCATAGCTAGCGAAAAACATTTGGTCGGGCTCACGAGGCGCCACCATGGTTGGCGCCGAGCGATAAAATTTTCCGAATTTAGACTCCCTAGAACGTCGGAAAAGGCTATCTTAGAAAGCAAACGCGTGATATTTATGCAGGAAATAGAACCATTTTGGTTAATTTAAATTGCCGAAGGATCATATAGTAAAGCAGAGAAACAGTTCAAAAATAAGTTGTAGAAAATCATCGACGAAGTCGGATGACACGAATGCGCGTAATATGATCTTATATAATTACGTTGGGAATTTCAAGTCATTGCTAAATAAAGGCCTGTAAATAAAAAACTACACGGTAGAATTTTAAACTTGGCCATATTGTAGATATTCTTATTGTCTATAACATATCCAAAATCTGATATGGCACAAAAATAAATTGTAGAAAATCATATACAAAATCGGATGACACGAATGCGCGTAATATGATCTTATATAATTAGGTTGAGAATTTCAAGTCATTGCTAAACAAAGGCCTGTAAATAAAAAACTACACGGTAGAATTTTTTTAAACTTGGCCATATTGTAGATATTCTTATTGTCTATAACATATCCAAAATCTGGATGTAACACAAAAAATAAGTTGTAGAAAATCATCGACAAATACGGATGACACGAATGCGCGTAATATGATCTTATATAATTAGGTTGAGAATTTCAAGTCATTGCTAAACAAAGGCCTGTAAATAAAAAACTACACGGTAGAATTTTTTTAAATATATCCAAAATCTAGAGAGTGAACAAAAAATTATTAATACAATTCACTTTTTACTAAATTGTTTAAAAGTAGTAAACTCTGTTTGGTTGTTAGTGCCAATTTAATTATGCAGTGACGTAATATTGCTGGTTATTTTTCTTGAAAATTTGTTCTAGTTGCTCATCGCTTTAATTTTTTCAAAATTTAGTGAATCTACTGAAGGAAATGACTTGTTTTGGAGTAGTCGTGACCAAATATTACTTTAATCCAGGACCTTTACGTCACGGTATAATTAGACATGTGCATTATTTATATTGTATTTTACAGACTTACTAGATAATTACCTTACTTTATTATCTTATAATTAGAAATCGGCTATTATTTTCTTTCTATCGCATTTTTTACGTTGTTGACACGATCAGAATATCGATTAACAATTTCAATTTTTCTGAAAATGTTCCTCTTGCATTCTGAACTGATTTTCTATCATTTATATTTTTGTGCCTCCAGATTTTGGATATGTTATAGACAAGAATATCTACAATATGGCCAAGTTTAAAAATTCTACCGTGTAGATTTTATTTACAGGCCTTTATTTAGCAATGACTTGAAATTCTAAACGTAATTATATAAGATCATATTACGCGCATTCGTGTCATCCGACTTTGTCGATGATTTTCTACAACTTATATTTTTGTGCCATCTCCAGATTTTCGATATGTTATAGACAATATAATTATCTATATTCTGGCCAAGTTTAAAAAAATTCTACCGTGTAGTTTTTAAATTATAGGCTAATTAAGAGAAATGGAAAGTACACTGTAATATAAATCTTAGTGTTTTCTTCAATTTCTTGACTTTTATACATTTTTTGTGATGGTTAAGGACAGTAAAATAGTAATAAACAGTCAAGAATTGTTTTTTACTGTTGTATTTGATGGAAAACGTGTTTTAAAGACGATTTTTCGATTTATCATTTTGAATGATAAATTTTAGTCGAATGTGGTGATGAGTGTTGTGATGAATGTTGTGTTGATTGTGGTGCCCAATATGGTGCCAATTTCACGGTAGTAAATGCAAGCTCTTGCCTAGACAAGTATAAAACAGCTTCTGTTATGGTTTTCAACATTTCCCTGTTTTGCCTTACCTCCTCGTTATGACGCTGAATCTCTTCACGTCTGGCTTGTGACATGACACAGTCGACACGAGGCTGAAAACCGTAGGTCTATGCAAATTATTGAAGAATATATTCTTATGTCTGTTTTGTAACGTAAACTTTAAGGTAAAATATCATGTTTTTTTAATTTTTCTAAAGGCTGTTTGATAGGATACTGCAGTTGGTAAAAGCTGTAGCATACATGCTCTCTGTTATTATTAGTTTTTAGGTTCTTTTGTAATTTTAAGACGGTTTTTGGTGAAGTTAAATCAATTAAAAAATAAGTTTGATTTCGTCATCATGTAAATTCCGACTTCAATGGAAACTAATAAGGGTTGTATAATATTTTTTTATTTGCTTGATTTTTATCTTGTTGATGTATACCAAATTTTTGTACAGATGGAATCGTCAGGAATAAGAAATCTGTCTTACATTCAGCAAATAATTAACGTGGTGCAAAAGGAACTTGCTCAGTTTTTCATTAAACAATGGAACTCTCGTTACAAATCAACTTATGGAGAATGGGATGATACACACAACAGTGGTAACAAATTTTACAATTTAGAATCAAGAAGAAAGTTAGACCAAAAAACTCGACAAAAATATCAGGATGGAGATACCAGTAAGTGGGACTGTACGATATTATTTGATGCAATAATTTTTTCAAATTCAATTACAAAGCACCTTGACAAAAAAACAAAGGATGCTGTTCATACACTTCGTTGTGAAAGAAACAAGTACGCACATTGGTATGAAAGGGAATGCTCAGATGATGATTTTTATGATATAGTCAACATCATTGAAAAATCATTTCAAGATTTGAAATTTTCTCTTGATGAAATCATTGAAATAAAAAATCATCGAAACTGTTTTAATTCGTTCCAAGTTCTTCCTTCAAAATCTAATCATTTTTTTGTTGAACGCACTGAATTACGAAATAAAATTATAAAAGATCTTGAAAAATTAAGAATTGATAACAATGATAAACTGACATATTTTTACATCACTGGTAATCCTGGCAGTGGTAAATCGCAACTTGCAAGACAGGTTTGTGAAAAAATGCCGTGTGATTGGAAAAATAGAACTTCATTTGTAATGACTCTCGATGGAAAAAATGAGGAATCTCTTTTAAAAACTTTCTGTGAACTTGGATACCATTTAAACTGTGACAAGTATATGATTAAAAAATTTGAAGATGAAAATTGTTCCATCGCAGACAAAGTGAAGAATTTGCGATCGTTAGTATCCACACGATTAAAATTTTGGCAAAATTGGTTGATCATTGTAGACAACGTGGTACAGCTCAGCAAAATTTCTTCATACTCCCCAAGTAGGTGATCCCATGTGGATAAATGGACAAATCATAGTAACTATCCAGAACACAGATGCCGTACCTCAAGACGATGAGTTTAACAAACATATTTCTATCACAAGTGGAATGAATGATAAAGAATGTTGTCAACTGTTGAAAATTACACTAAAGATGATAATACTGATGATCAATTGTTGAATGAAGTATCCCACGCATTAGATCGTCAACCGCTGGCTTTGGCTGCCGCTGGTTTTATGTCAGTCGTGTAAACAAAGCAAACTGCTCATTTACTTGGAAACAATATTTAAAGAAAATATCTTCAGAAGAACAAGAAAACATGGACGCCACTTTTGTTAAATTTAACTCGGTATATCGTAGAAGTATGTTACAAGCTTCACTTTTAGCTGTCAGACAAAATGCTGAAGAATCCTCAATATTGGCAAATGTTATTAACTTTTTTTCCGTGATATCGTTTGATCCTATACCACGAGACATTATTATTTGTTATGTTCAAAAAATAGATCCCAAACACTCAAAGGAAGATATATGTCTTTGTTTAAAGGACTGCTCATTGCTCTTGCATTCAGAAAATAATGACATTAGTCTACATCGCATTGTTCACAAAGCAATTATTGTTTATCAATCTGAACATTCAAATGAAGAACATGAAAAGGAAAGTAACGTTGATCAAATATCTAAAGCACTTTACATGTTTAAAGAGACAGACGACGAAATCAAATTAATGCCACATCTAAAAAAAATTGTTCAATTATTAAAGACCAACAAGACAAAAATCAACATGAACACTTTACAAGTTTTCCAATATTTTGTTGACAGATTAAGTCATTTTGGAAAATACGATCTTGCTTTTGAACTATTGGATAAATTTAAATCAGAAGAATCTATTTATGATAAAGCTTGGTATTTTAATATCCTTGGTCTTTTATACTGTGTTACCGGGAAGTATAGCAAAGCTAAAAATCATCACGAAAAAGCTCTGGAAATTCAAAAACAATTGTTAGGTCCAAATCATGTTAATGTTGCTACGTCTTTAAACAATCTTGGGAATTTGTTTGCTACTACTGGAAGTTACGACAAAGCTATAGAGTTTTACGAAAAAGCTCTGGAAATTCAAAAACAATCGTTAGGTCCAAATCATGTTGATGTCGCTGCGTCTTTAAACAATCTTGGTAATGGTGTTACATTGTAACTGAAACTACGACAAAGCTATAGAATTTCATGAAAAGCTCTGGAAATTCAAAAACAATCCTTAGGTCCAAATCATGTTGATGTTGCTGCATTTTTAAACAATCTTGGTAGTGTGTATAATGATACTGGAAACTACGAGAAAGCTATAGAATTTCATGAAAAAGCACTGGAAATTCAAAAACAATCGTTAGGTCCAAATCATGTTTATGTCGCTGGGTCTTTAAACAATCTTGGTAATGTGTATAGTGGTACTGGAAACTACGACAAAGCTATAGAGTATTATGAAAACGCTCTGGAAATTCAAAAACAATCGTTAGGTCCAAATCATGTTTATGTCGCTAAGTCGTATAACAATCTTGGTAATGTGAATAGTTGTACTGGAAACTACGACAAAGCTATAGAGTATTATGAAAAAGCTCTGGAAATTAAAAAACAATCGTTTGGTCCAAATCATGTTGATGTCGCTACGTCTTTATACAATCTTGGTACGGTGTTACATGGAACTGGAAACTACGACAAAGCTAAAGAGCTTTATGAAGAAGCTCTGGAAATTAAAAAACAATCCTTAGGTCCAAATCATGTTGATGTCGCTGCGTCTTTAAACAATCTTGGTTTATTGTTTAAAAAAACTGAAAACTACGACAAAGCTATAGAGTTTTATGAAAAGCTCTGGAAATTCGAAAACAATCGTTAGGTCCAAATCATGTTGATGTCGCTGCGTCTTTAAACAATCTTGGTACGGTGTTACATGAAACTGGAAACTACGACAAAGCTATAGAGCTTTATGAAAAGCTCTGGAAATTAAAAAACAATCGTTAGGTCCAAATCATGTTGATGTCGCTATGTCTTTAAACAATCTTGGTAATGTGTATTCTATCATTGGAAACTACGACAAAGGTAAAGAGCTTCACGAAAAAGCTCTGGAAATTAAAAAACAATCGTTAGGTCCAAATCATGTTGATGTTGCTGTCTTTAAACAATCTTGGTAATGTGTATTTTAAAACTGGAAACTACGACAAAGCTATAGAGTTTTACGAAAAGCTCTGGAAATTCAAAAACAATCGTTAGGTCCAAATCATGTTGATGTCGCTAGGTCTTTAAACAATCTTGGTACGGTGTTACATGAAACTGGAAACTACGACAAAGCTAAAGAGCTTTATGAAAAGCTCTGGAAATTCGAAAACAATCGTTAGGTCCAAATCATGTTGATGTTGCTGCGTCTTTAAACAATCTTGGTTTATTGTTTAAAAACTGGAAACTACGACAAAGCTATAGAGTTTTACGAAAAGCTCTGGAAATTCGAAAACAATCGTTAGGTCCAAATCATGTTGATGTCGCTGCGTCTTTAAACAATCTTGGTAATGGTGTTACATGAAACTGGAAACTACGACAAAGCTATAGAGCTTTATGAAAAGCTCTGGAAATTCGAAAACAATCGTTAGGTCCATATCATGTTGATGTTGCTGCGTCTTTAAACAATCTTGGTTTATTGTTTAAAAAAACTGAAAACTACGACAAAGCTATAGAGTTTTACGAAAAGGCTCTGGAAATTCGAAAACAATCGTTAGGTCCAAATCATGTTGATGTTGCTGCGTCTTTAAACAATCTTGGTTTATTGTTTAAAAAAACTGAAAACTACGACAAAGCTATAGAGTTTTACGAAAAAGCTCTGGAAATTCGAAAACAATCGTTAGGTCCAACTCATGTTGATGTCGCTGCGTCTTTAAACAATCTTGGTACGGTGTTACATGTAACTGGAAACTACGACAAAGCTAAAGAGCTTTATGAAAAAGCTCTGGAAATTCAAAAACAATCGTTAGGTCCAAATGATGTTGATGTCGCTAGGTCTTTAAACAATCTTGGTACGGTGTTACATGAAACTGGAAACTACGACAAAGCTAAAGAGCTTTATGAAAAAGCTCTGGAAATTCGAAAACAATCGTTAGGTCCATATCATGTTGATGTTGCTGCGTCTTTAAACAATCTTGGTTTATTGTTTAAAAAAACTGAAAACTACGACAAAGCTATAGAGTTTTACGAAAAAGCTCTAAAAATTCGAAAACAATCGTTAGGTCCAAATCATGTTGATGTTGCTGCGTCTTTAAACAATCTTGGTTTATTGTTTAAAAAAACTGAAAACTAAGATAAAGCTATAGAGTTTTACGAAAAAGCTCTGGAAATTCGAAAACAATCGTTAGGTCCAACTCATGTTGATGTCGCTGCGTCTTTAAACAATATTGGTACGGTGTTACATGAAACTGGAAACTATGACAAAGCTAAAGAGCTTTATGAAAAAGCTCTGGAAATTAAAAAACAATCGTTAGGTCCAAATCATGTTGATGTCGCTATGTCTTTAAACAATCTAGGTAATGTGTATTCTATCAGTGGAAACTACGACAAAGGTAAAGAGCTTCACGAAAAAGCTCTGGAAATTCGAAAACAATTGTTAGGTCCAAATCATGTTGATGTCGCTACGTCTTTAAACAATCTTGGTAATGTGTTTAGTGATACTGGAGACTACGACAAAGCTATAGAGTTTTACGAAAAAGCTCTGGAAATTCAAAAAGAATCGTTAGATCCAAATCATGTTGATGTCGCTAAGTCGCTAAACAATCTTGGTAATGTGTATAGTTGTACTGGAAACTACGACAAAGCGATAGAGTTTTATGAAAAAGCTCTGGAAATTCAAAAACAATTGTTAGGTCCAAACCATGTTGATGTCGCTACGTCTTTAAACAATCTTGGTACGGTGTTACATGAAACTGGAAACTACGATAAAGCTATAGAGCTTTATGAAAAAGCTCTGGAAATTCAAAAACAATCGTTAGGTCCAAATCATGTTGATGTTGCTGCGTTTTTAAACAATCTTGGTTTATTGTTTAAAAAAACTTAAAACTACGACAAAGCTATAGAGCTTTATGAAAAAGCTCTGGAAATTCAAAAACAATCGTTAGGTCCAAATCATGTTGATGTCGCTGCGTCTTTAAACAATCTTGGTTTATTGTTTAAAAAAACTGAAAACTACGACAAAGCTATAGAGTTTTACGAAAAAGCTCTGGAAATTCAAAAAGAATCGTTAGATCCAAATCATGTTGATGTCGCTAAGTCGCTAAACAATCTTGGTAATGTGTATAGTTGTACTGGAAACTACGACAAAGCGATAGAGTTTTATGAAAAGCTCTGGAAATTCAAAACAATCGTTAGGTCCAAATCATGTTGATGTCGCTACGTCTTTAAACAATCTTGGTAATGGTATTACATGAAACTGGAAACTACGACAAAGCTATAGAGTTTCATGAAAAAGCTCTGGAAATTAAAAAACAATCCTTAGGTCCAAATCATGTTAGTGTCGCTAGGTCTTTAAACAATCTTGGTTTATCGTTTAAAAAAACTGGAAACTACGACAAAGCTATAGAGTTTCATGAAAAAGCTCTGGAAATTAAAAAACAATCGTTAGGTCCAAATCATGTTGATGTCGCTACGTCTTTAAACAATCTTGGTATTGTGTTACATGAAACTGGAAACTACGACAAAGCTATAGAGTTTCATGTAAAAGCTCTGGAAATTCGAAAACAATCGTTAGGTCCATATCATGTTGATGTTGCTGCGTCTTTAAACAATCTTGGTAATGTGTATTCTAAAACAGGAAACTACGACAAAGCTATAGAGTTTCATGAAAAGCTCTGGAAATTCGAAAACAATCGTTAGGAACTAGTCAGGTTGATGTCGTTAAGTCTTTAAAAATCTAGGTGTGTTGTATTATGAAACTCGGGAGTATGACAAAGCTTTACAGTTACACTTTGGTAGCTACGTGTTTCAAAGAAAATTGTGCGTTCTAAATTATATTAAGCCGATTTTTAACACATAGACAGTAGGAGCAAGGCTTCCACCTGTCAAGTCAGCTCCCCTCTCCCTCAGAAGGTATTTTTGGTAGTGAATAAAACGTTGGCAATTTGCATTTTGTGAGGTAAAATGAACCTAAAGATGTAATGATCCTTGTCTATATATAGTTTCACTGATATCTAGTCAATAAATTTACTCTACAGCCGGAAATCATCCTAAGTAGAACTTAGAACTGCCCATGCCCTGAATCTGACATTCTTCTTTAGACTATATTTCTAAAGTAATTTGCTTTTATGTTATAACCAAGTAGTAATTTTTATTGTATGATTTACAAACATACTAAAGTATATTCGGATGACAGAATTCTGTTAAATAAATACTATCTTGTTAGTTGTTCATATTCTTTGATACATTTAGTAACTTTTTACCCAGTTCCATAAGCCTATGACCATATTCCAGGTTCCTATAGTTTCCAAGGGGTACACCTTTCATACCATACATACCACCAGGCTGCGAATTAACGGTGTCCAATGTGCAATTTGCACATCGTTTTGGCTAAAATGAAAACAATTGCACATCACTTTTTCAAGCGATGTGCAAAAATCAGCGGTTTTAACGAAAAACACTGTCGTAAATCATATGAATTTGTTCAAGTTTAAAAACATTAATTTAGCAATTAGCACTATATAATAATTAACGTAATATCGATTTGATTATGCCTCTAAACAAACACTTTTGTCAAAAAAATTGCACATCGTTTTTTCTGAACTAATTCGCACACTGCATACCACCCCACCATGCTGCAGCCAATATTCCTGTGCTGTCACTTTGCCCGCCATGAAACATTGAACAAGAGCACAATTGAAACCAGGAATCTTTTGCCATCATCAAAGCATCGTAAGCAATCATTTGTGCATCATGACCACTGGATCCAACCCAACCTGCATAACTGACAGATCTTTAAAAAGCATCACGTTCAGGTATGTTATATGTCACTGGAAACTTTGGTTCACTGGTTCTACTCATTAATTCCCGTAGTTGAAGATATGACTCCCAACTGTTTTTAAAGTAGCCCCAAGATTTCTTGTTTTCTTCTATATCATGACCAACCTTCTCAATGTATTCCCAAACTTTGTGTAAAACACTTAAAAGTCCTGCTCCCATTTTTTTGGAGCCATCTTCTGTATAGCATAGGCTGTAAATAAAGCTGCAGTAACAGCCCCAAGATAACCTATAATTAAAATCATTATCTTTTAAGATTGCTAATTTTAGGTCACATTATGATGACTCTATTTACATAATAGAAGCATTTTGATATGGATCATGGATTGAATGACTGTAGTAGTGAAGATATAAAAGCAAGAACAGCAATGGCAATTCAAACAGTTTTGAAAGACAGAAATTTGAAAATGTGGAAAAGCGATAAAAGGGATGGATCAAAGATATGGTCATTTAAAGTGAGCAATGTTAGAAGGATGGAGGCATTTGAGATGTGGTTCTAGAAAATAATGGATTGCATAGACTTATGCAAGCCAAAGGTCAACCTTCTTTTATTTCATTTATAAATTGATATTAGATAAAAGGATATGAAACATTCATGGTAATGGCTTCATCAAGTAAGAAATCAAAGGAAGAGTTGAAGATAAAACATCTAAGAAAAGCAAAAGGATTGAAAAGCTAAATTACTATAAAGGTTTGTTAAAATGAAAAGCAATGCAGATAACAGGAAAACCTAGCAAACTTTATACAAAGCAACACTTGTTGATAGACAAAACACTAGACATTAGTGACTTGATAATTGATACATGATCTGAAATCGTTGCTTTATTATGAAAGGTGAATACCTGTGGGGTGATTATGAGTCATCCTTCCACTTTCAACAGCAATTTCAATTAACATTTCAATTTGATCTTCACAAGGAAACATCAAACCTATACACATGGATCTCATAGCTGCACCACATCCTCCACCTCGTTCATTAAATGGTATAATGTAACCTTTTTCCTCAAGAGGTTGTAACATGAAACATGCCTTTGTTGTGGTCTGCCCAGGAGCTCTTTCCCACATATCCTCAGCACATGTCTTCTTGTACTTTGTAGCCATAATGCTCAATAACTCTTCCGTTGTTGTCCATTCAGAAACCAACGCTTCTGCTGTAGCAATGTGTAGTACAGTGTCGTCACTAACCCTCCATCCTTTAATGTCAATTTTATCAAGTCCTCCGAGTTTTTCTAGTTCTTCATGAATTTGAGTACCACTGTAACAGAATTCCCACAAACCATTCTTATAACCTAGAGCATCCCCACTCCACTGAGAACCATAACTGCTTCGTATTTCTCGGATAATTGGACCGTATTTTCAAGAGCCATTTTAATATGTTTACTTCACCGTAGTTTAATGAATTTTTTGAAACACGGGAAAGTACTAAGCTTCCCTCAACTTAGTCAACTAATAAAACGTAAAATCTTTTCTTTGCTTTGTTTCAATATTGTTTCATACTATTGTTTAGATTTAGACGAGAGCGTTGGGAGACTGGGACTGTTATTTTGTAATCCTTAATCTTTACCCGATTCCATGATCTTCAATCTGATTAACATGTTGCTTCTTGCAAAGATTCTTTAAAATTTAAAAGTTCCTTCCTTATATCATGGATTATCCGACACGGATTTAATCCAAACTTGACAATTTGATTGCACATATACTAAAAAACAGTGTATTGGGAATCGAACCCAAAGACTAAATTTTCCGCTCTTTGAAGATACCCCACAGTTGGGCTGTTTTTTTTCTTGGAAAGTTCAGACGATTTTGGCTATTGAACATATTTTGAATATTTTATAGTTCCAAAATTTGATCTTTGTAGAATTTTGAAGCTCAAATTTGGTAAGTTATTGCTTGATCGTAATAGACAAAAACAGGTCAAGAGCTTTGTCGTTCAATTACACTTCACAATTTAAAGTCACAAACAATAAACAATTATCAGCTTTTTTATAATGCCGGTTTAGCATTAAAATGCTTAAATATCCAACTTTACGCCCCAAATACATGCAAGTTTAACTTTCACATTTACAATAAGTGTTAAGTAAATAAATATAAAAATGATTAAACTGAAATCACCCAAACTGTTCTAAAATGCAGAATTGCTTAAACATGACGCTGTTTTTAACGAAAGTGAAGATGGCTGTAAATTTTAGCTGATAGACCCTAGGTTCGCTCAGCTAAGCATCCATAGCCTTCAAATTGCATTTCTTTTGTTCCATGGTTGTATATGACAAGTAGTACAAGTTTAGTCCCACACCAAGGTCACTGTTTTTTGATGACTTAACCGAAATAAAAATCCCTAATGGAAAAACCTGAACGGTATAAACCAAAACCGAACACAACGGCACGAGAATTTGGAGAATACTGAAGAGGAAAAACCATTAGGGATTTCAGCCGAAGTTCCGCGCCCGGGGACCCTTAGAAACAAAAATCTTTACTTACCTTTGCAACGATGCAAATACCAAAAAAAAAGAAAAAACCGTCAATTTCTCAAAAGGCACCTTCAAGTCCAAAAAAATCTTTTAAGTATTTTAGTTATGGATATAATTCGCCATTTTTAACGTACATACAACTTACGTACAAACCGCCACATTTTAGTTTTACCGCACGTAAACCGATCAGCGAACTCGACAGTATTCTACTTTGGACTAGAAAATTGTGTAATTTGGATGGGAATTTCTTTTAACGTGTGTTTTTCTTATCTAATCCACATCCGAATCAGTCGCACCTAGCGCCACCTTAGCAGTCCCTATTTTGCATCGTTTCATTCAGTGCTTTGCGCGCTCGGTGCCACTAACGCTTAAAGTTGCTGCATGACATGGATTAGATAAATGTACTTCAAAATATTTTAAGCAGAGAGACTAAATTTAATATTTTTTGAAACAAATTAGAACACTTGAAGAAGCACACGTTAAGTTTGGTTACCGAGAGACCGTGGATGGTTTAACCAAACAACCGGCAGCGCTTGATTTAAGTTATGTCTTAGTTTGACAATTATCATATAGATGACTAGATAGCAACGCGAATGGTGAACATGGAAACCATCGTGTAACTATTTTGTATCATATGTGACAACGTCTGCGGTTTGTCTTCATGGTAACCATCAAAGAAAACAAACAATGTGCTTTTATTAAAACTATGTTTCGTGTTAGTTTGGTTAATATGAAGCCATTCCGCATACTTAGACCTGGTGTACTAAACATTTTTTATGCCTGTTTTTGCTGTGGCTTGCCGCATCGAAATTCCCAGGAATGAAGTTTTCTTAATAAGAAAACAACATATCCATTTTTACATTTACAGTAATTGCCACGCCGCTCCTAAACTGTAAATGTCTTGACAAACTGAAGACTATTTGAGTTTCAATTTGTCGATTTGAAAATGACTGACAAGATTAAAGTTTCCTTCGAAAGATTTTGAAAATTTAGTCATTTCTCTTGATAGTGGAGTTCATCCTTTAAATTTATAAAGGTTCTAACCCCATACTCATTATCTAAGCGTAGCAACTACCGCTGCAACTACAGCGCATGCCTAAGCTATCTAAACTTCCTACCTGCGCATGGCACCGGAATTCCGCCCTGAAAGGAATGCCCTTGAAGGAGGTAACCCATCATGCCCTTAACTTAACTTAACCTAGTGCATGTTGCACCTACGGGCGACCTCCAACCGGGGTGGGTTGAACTACTCATGCGTTATAGGGGATCCATGCAGGAGTGCCTTAATAGTCAATGTAGAAAGCCGTTCATGAAATTGGCGAACTACAAGGACTGCATGCTCTTACCGTACTAGGGGAGAGATATTTTTCTTTCCACTAAAACCACGATCTTCCCTTGGTCTTCGACAGGCCTTGCTCGCTTGATACAGTCTTCAAAGGTCTTCTTACAGATGCTATTTGCATCCTCTACGCTAAGGTACCATTTGTACCCACTAACCCCAAGTTGAAGTTGCCTTCCTTGGGCCAAACTTCACTTGCATTTCCGATTCTAAGCTATGGTCCTGCCTATACTTCTGCGAGGCAACAACCGCTGCGATCATGCGTAGCTCCTTAAAGCAGTATATTCACACAGAGGTTTTTCGAAGGTAAATTATATAGAACAACACAATTGTTGCATGCTAGTCACAGACTTGAAATAGTTCATACAAATTCACGCTTACTAAGACACAAATTTTAGAAAGAATTAAAGCAGCATCGATAAACACTATTTGATTATTTTAACCAAAAGAACACTTTTATTACCTCTTAATCAATCCTGCATTAAAAAAATAGCCTTACAGTGGAATATACTGAACACCAGGATTTGTTGTGGCTATTGCCCGAATTATATTAGAGATTTGACCTGTTAACAGGCCTAACTAAATAAAAGGTTTATTATTATTACACTTACGGTTTTCGACGAATCCTTGGTAGTTCGACGACAGACTACGATGAATGACAGATCTCATGCCAATTGTGAAGATGAAACGATCGGATGTTGAGCATAGACAGCCACAAAAAAGCCCAAAATAATTTTTTGAAAAATTCAGAACGTTGATGGTGAAACCATCGTATCCAATTTTCAGGCTACCTGACAAACATCACCGCTTTTATGTCGATGACGGCAAGCACAGAAACAAGATTGGCCATTTCTTGCAACTGTGCATGTCGTCTACGGCATTAAATCGGAAATATCGACAGCCAGTCGGAAAATTAGGATTTTAGGTTTTTATTTTCATGTTAAAGAAATTCCATGTTTTATTACAAAAATTTTCAATTAAATAATGTTGAAATTTGGGCATTTGATAGCGGCGTGGTTTTATCCATCATTGCGATTGATTGACCAGTCGTGATGTTAGCAGGAAAACTCCCAGGAAAATGTTTTAGAAAAGGTCATAATATTGACTTTTCCATGGAAACAGGCGTTAGGCTGATGGATGCATTGCTCCAGAAGAGTGTTTAGCGTTTGCATTCTTTGTAGAGATGGTCTTTAGGACATTAGAAGTCACGTATTTTTCAATTTCATCAAAGTATATTGTCCATTCTTGATCATTGTTCAGAAGAGTTCATTAAAGTATATTGTTCATTCTTGATCATTGTTCAGAAGAGTTCATTAAAGTATATTGTTCATTCTTGATAATTGTTCAGAGGTCTTCGTTAAAGTAAATTGTTCATTCTTGAGCATTCTTCAGAGGACTTCATTAAAGTATGCTGTTCATTCTTGATCATTGTTCAGAGGATTTCATTAAAGTACGTATATTGTCCATTCTTGATCAGAAGGTTTCTACATAGGACAATTGAAGCCAATGTCAGTTCACACTATACTTCCATAAATGAAAAACATTGATAACATACTTACATTGAACATTTTATTCACTAGTAATGTAGTTCAAGGGAAGAAGAATTTCAACCAAATTACAGAATTGTATTTTGTTCTTATGTTTAGATGAGCGTCGAGGAACTGGTCGACAACAGCCACAATTCTCTTCAACCGCTGTGAACAATAACCACTTTCTTTAATTGTGGAGTCTACGATCATGGTAAATACACCAACATTTGTTCGTTGTTTCTCAATCTCATTTGATGACTAATTGTCGTTTAAGAGAAGAATGTCCATGTCTAAAATCAAGCATAGAGGAAACAAAAGTTACTAAGACGGAAACTTTATGGAAAGGCCACACTGCACTTTGCATTAATGAACATCACATGCAGTGTCCCAATTCAATGTTTACTCAATGCAAAAGAACTTGAAACAAGACATTTACCTGAACAATTTTTCAAAGCACTCCAAGAGATATTTCACCGTGGAATAATTTCGACTTCGGCTAACTATTCTTCGTGCAACTACAGACTTTCACGTTCAAATGGCACGTTCTTAGTCTTAGACTATGGCCCAAGTTTCACGAACGTGTTGTATTCTGATTGGTCAGTGACTAGGCGTGTTGTAAACGTGTTGTGTTCTTATTGGTCATTTACTAGGTGTGTCCTAAACTGTTGTGTTCGGATTGGTCATTTACTAGGTGTGTCGTCAATTGTACATTGTGAAATTTAGAATTTGCATGATTCATCACTTAGAAGTAATTAATCCCCATAGAGCGGTAAATGCAATTTAATACAATATAAAAAAAAACGTATACTTCAGCTACAGCAAATAGCAAATCCCAAACATTTAAGTCTCCTTGGGGAACAACTACAGCTGAATCATGCAAATTCTAAAGGTCCACTGATGTCAAAAATGATTTGATAAACCCTCTAGATTGTTATCTTCATCTCATTTTCTTATTGTATTTATTAGCATTAACATTTGATCTCTTTTAATTAGCAAACTTACCTTTAGTTTTAGGGACTATTTATATGAGCCCGATAGCCGGGATTCAGCGAACGAACATGTAACATGTAACATGTTCTTACACAAACTTTCGGCAGTTATTTCAGTAAACAGTAAAGATACAAACGATGGACAAAAAAGCAGCTAATATTGGAGGCAACAATTCGCCAAGAGAAACCCGACCTTGTGCAACGAAAATTTCCGCAATGCCATTCTGTAACGGTCGTCATTTCGTTAACGTCTTTTCTGACTTCTTGAACGACTTTTTCAAAGAGCTTAGCAAAAAATAATCATGTATTTAACGTAAAGATCTTTGATAAACCAGCAATTGTCAAAACTCTGGTAAAAAAACCCCACCATGTACAACAAAAACTTTGGCAATGCCATGTTTCTTCGTCAACATCTTTTCTGACTTCTTGAAAGACTTTTCCCGACAGCTTCGAAAAATGAATGAGGAATGAAGTATAAAGTTTGACTGAGGAAGAAGCAGCTGATATTTTAGGGTAAAACTGATATAAATTTTGGTAAAAAACGTAACTCTTCAACGGCCATTTTCGTTTTTTCGAGTTTGGAAACGACTTTTTGCAACAGCTTCAAAGAAAGAATCATGTATTCAACAGGTTTAACTTGTTGTGATGTTATAAAATATTGTGAAAATGGATTTGCAAGGCGGAAAGCGAATTCTTAGTATAAATATAATTGCCCATCATAAAACTTTTAATATGGCCATGGGTATATAATTTTATCAACAATAACGTTTCGTCTTTAGCTGAAGACATCTTCATATTACAATACATACATGTAGGAAGTAGTAAATCCTATTCTTAGAAATTTTGTACAATACTTACAATAACGACTGTATGCGTTACGCTTCTTCTCTGAAATAAAAAGGTTATATTACTCACTGTAATACTTTGAAACTTACAAATGAAATATTTTACGTAATACTTACGATAAAGATTGTTTCAGCAAGAAATCTCTTTACACATAGCGCGGGAAAGATCGGCAAAAAGTCATATGACGTATTGATCAAAATTGGTCACGTGTCAAGTCGTATAAACATTCGCCAGCAAGAGCTGGGTGACGCGGGATATGTAAATTGATCAAATCGTGCTGAGATAGCACAACATTTAATAGCATAGTAGGTTTCGTGTGATGTATTTAATATACGATTGTTTTCATTTCAAGTTAAATATTATGTTTTAACTTGTTAAAACCCAGTATGATGTACTATTATATAGTAGCAAATACTGACAAATTATATCTGTATACAACACATACAATAAAGAGTCCTTGAAGTTGATGCATCAGGAAATTCTTCTACTTTGTAGACATATTATATTTATATATACTGAACTATACGTATGTTATATATATACAATATAACTTATACAATTTCTATGCTCTGTTTTTTCGACAGACATCCTACAAGTTTTACCTTTTAACCATTATATGTAGAAGGAACAGTTTGTTTTGTCGTTGTCGTCGTTGAAACAGATGATACCGTTGAAGTTTGCCTGTAAAATATTTGCTGAAAGTTTAGAGAAAAATTGATAAACTATTCATGAAATAATAGGTAGTAGCATTTTGATTTTCTTTCTAAAACAAGCCAAAGTTTGAGTTCTTTGTGTTGTATTATTACGAAATAAAAGATATTTAAGGTGTTTGCACAGGCTTATGCAAAACGAGGAGACCTTTGGAAGAAATCGAGAGCAGATCAGTGCAAGCCCAAAACCGAAGGTAGTGTGTTGCACATGCTCAAGAGTTCTCTTTCGCTCAAGCCAGTGCAAACAGGAAAAAATCTTTTTAAAAATATCAATAATGCGAAATAGACAAATTTAAAACAAAACGTTTTAATTTTTCCTCTAAAGCGTATTCATGCTTGATTTGCGAATTCTCTTTGATTGATTTGATTTGTTGAGCTCAGATCGGTTTGCACAAGCGAATGAAAACATAGCTATAGAGCAATCAGCGCATGCGCTTGATTGCTTTTGTTCTTGTTTTGACTTTCAATTTTTCTGTCTATTCTTGCCTTACAAACATTAACACTAAAAATCGTTTAATATTCTGTATATTGAACAATAAATTACACTCAAACATGATCACGTGTTTACTCACATGAAAAGATCACGTGTTTACTCACATGAAAAGATCACGTGTTTACTCACAAAAAGATCACGTTTTACTCACATGAAAAGATCACGTTGATCACGTTTACTCATGAAAAGATCACGTGTTTACTCACATGAAAATGGAAAGTATTTGAACAAAGAACTCTTGCAAGGATTTTCACCTAACTCTGGAACAGCACCCAGACTATAATTGATCAATTTTCTCAAGTAATTTTCCAATTGTTTCCGACGTGTTTCCACAAAATTGACGTCACGATTTCCAATAATTTTCTTCGCGGGAAACGTGAATTGTGCAACAGGTTTAAACTGCTTGCTTGTCTGTGCATAAAAAGGAAAAGGAAGGGATTGTACATTACGGCAAAACAATATGTGATTAAAAAAATTAAAATACTGATGTTTATTAAAAACCTTCTTATGTAGGGCATAAAAATCCGAGTATCTTTTGTAAACATTCCATTCATCGTCTTTGATACGGATATAAACCTTTTTAAGTAAACAATGTTAAATTCTTTATTGACGACAATAAATGGACCACTGCGAAGATGCTATATATATATACATAGGAAGTTTATATTTGATGATTCTCCGTATAAAACAGTGCTCGATGCCCGAGAGCAGAGCGTAAATATGTGTAGTGTTGTTGAGAATCACAAAACTACAGTTTCATCCCGACAAGCCTGTTTTGTGATTAAAGGAAAATCCCCTGAAGAGTGAGCAGTCACGAAACAGGCTTGTCGGGATGAATCTGTAGTTTTGTGATTTTTTCTCAACACCACTAAACATATACATATGAAAAGTGAAATATTTGAGCAGTAAATTTAAACTACGACATCATCTTTTAAATACGATGACCACAAACACTTTTCTTAAGGGTGATGTATTTGAAACGAGGAAAATACCCAATATAGATCATAAATCTTGAAATATAGTCCCTAGTTATCCCTAACCTAGTCCAGATAACCATCAACATCACATCGGAAGAGTTATTTACTTTTTTTAGAGATAAATATATGGAAAAAATTATACCTGATAAGAATGGTGAATGTTTGGAGACTTTCCTTGTACAAAAACAGATGGAATCCAAATGTTAATTAAAGGACGAGTATTGACAGACATGAAATTTGGACCAAACTCCGTCAAATATAAACATTCATCATGATTATTGTCCTGAGGAAGCTAGAACATACGAAGATACGTAGTTTTATTAAGAAATATTTAGAAAATCAAAAGAATATTTACTGCTTTTCATATTCATACCAAACAGTTCATATTGTACATATCGATCAATATTGTACATCTATTGTACTATAATGAACACACGGGTCTTTACTGAACATACCGGTCCTCTAAGATTGACAAGCTCTTCTTTTAATATTCTTAGCTGATATTCACGAGCATTCAACATTTTTTGTAGTCTTTCATTGAGTTCAATAAGTTCGCCATGCATATCAGCGACCTTTAAACATGATAAACAACATTTCATCACAACTTACGCCATGACGTCATCACCATGAAATTCCCCAGGGATAAACAAGAAACGCGAGATCAGTCAGAGTGGCGAGTTTTTTTAAACATATATCACGATTTCATTTCAGTTATTTATCCTCAGTTTTCATAAGTTAAAATATCTTCTTGTATTAGATATTTCTTAAAGTCACAGTGTGCATCGTATAAAAGAGCTTTTTATCAAATAAAATTTCGGCTCATCTTCATGCAACATATGATACATGAAGACATTTTAAGGAAAATGTTTCGATTTGAAAAAGTATTATGGTTTAATGGAAATCTTACTTGGATCAACTTCCGCTCAAAATCTTTGTTTTCTTCCTTTCTACAAGAAAAAGGAACGAAATTCATCACCGTTGCTTCACTTTTGCTACAAATTTACTGTAAATACCTCACTTCGTCGACGTCAGATTCCGGAGAAAGAATGATAGAAGAAAGTCTTTCATTTTCTGGAGCTACACAAAAGATTGTCGAATATCTTAGATTTCTACATCCATTTTAAAGATAAACTATCCCTATAGTAAACCTTCTTCCATAATGTCATTTCTTTTCAACGATTGAACAGCACCCACGTATTTCTTTAGTTGGTGTTTGAGCAAATCATTTTCACTAAAGAGCAAAAACGAACAGGTCAACAGACATCTTTGATTAACGGAAATGCAGAGTTCTCAATGTCCTAACCTTTTAAGCCGTTAAGAGCGACGCAATTTTCTTCATTTTTCGACGACATATCTCTTTTAAATCTTCTAATTGAAGACGAAGAGAAGCTGACTTCATCATCTCTTTTCCAAATGTTGTTGTAACGATCTACAGGAAAGATGATCGAAGGAAAAATCAGGGCAAAATAGTGTATATTCGAATGGAATGTTAATATTAAACGAAGGACGATAATACAACCTGTTACGTTCTTCAACTTCATCTTTTCTTAACATCATCGATACAATCGCCTGTTTTAATTCCTCTTCAACAATAAAACCACGTATTTATTGATATTCATGAAATTATAATTATTCACACATACAAATATTCAGTTCACATGATGAAATTTGACGGATGTCTCCAAACAAGCAAAGCAACTACGATACAAATAGTAAAATCCAATTGCACTAAATATTTCTATATTTAAAACTAACTCTACCTGCTAATAGCCCATTTATAGTTTGAGAACCTGAGGCAAAAGTGCCTCTCCGTTCCAAAACATTTTTCAAAAGATATAAGAAATAAAAACCATTTAAATACATGAATAGAAAAAACACACAAACCTGAAGTCATTTCTTTGCCTGATGGATATTCCTCTGATGGCTAAAGAACGAAAACATACCAAATATAACGAACTAAATATAACAAAGATATTTACACATGGCTTTCTACCCTCCCCCCTCAAAAAAAAGATAAAAGCATTTCATAATTAACTAACATTCATACAACCATCACCCATGGTTCTGACCAATGACGATCCTGAGTAATCATTAATTTCTATGCTACCATCACGTGTGGCACATATCGCTGCAACAGTTGCTCCAATTGCTAAACTTGCATCATTCTCGACGTCTTCATCAGTGTAAATACTGAAAACAACATAAATTACCACCTCAGTTAAAATGGTGAACTCGTTAGACATTCTTGTCGATAAAATAATGAAGTATCTTCTAACCTTGAAACGGGCGAATCATTTATTGAATGAACTAAATGTCGCGACGTCTCAGGTGCAACAGTAAATCGCTCATTTTCATCTGACATAGCTAGACTCCTAACTCCTTTATCGTCATCGGGGCAAACTACGGGAATTAGAGATACACCGCTGTTCATATCAACAAGAGGCTCACACTTCTTCCTCCGACAAGAGCGATGAGTCAGTGTAATGCCCTGATTGCAAAGATGTTGTCAAAGAATGATTTTTTCAAATCATTCGCAGTTTTAAACTCGTTTTAAGATGCAGAACTTCCTGGCTTTTCTTTGTTAATCGAGCCACTTGTTCATCTGTTTCATTCTCCTTGTTCTCAACGTTGGTTTTCGCCATTGTGGAAGAAAGACTTGAATTCTCAGAATTCGAACAATAAGCCAACTGAGAGTTCTTTGGCATTTCAAGAAAATCGTCAGGCCTTTTAGTGAAAGCATGGTTACCACGAGCATGTACCTGAGAATCAGTATTACGTTGTAATATGTCGTATGCCGCTCGGGTAAAACTCGTGGCACTATCGTGAGCAGTCGTTGTTGTGGAAGAACTACCATGAGAACTGACAGTAGAAGTTCCTTCTTCCGTCTCTTTGAATTCAACATTTTCAATTTGAGCAATGTTTGCTTTCTTTTTTACGTTTTTCTTTTCTTTCCTGAAACACAAAAGAAAGATAAAAGTTAAAAATTAATAAAGACGCGTGGGATAAATGACTACGCATTGTTCAAGTATGATAAAGAATAAATGAGGACGCGCGGTTAAGGGATGATAAGGGATGAATAAACAACAGGTATAGTTAAGGGATAAATGAAGACATGTAATAATGGGATAATAAAGGTTAAGGAGAACGCATGGTTGGGGGATTACAAGGAATAAATGACATGTGTGGTTAAGGAATGATAAGATTAGCGATATATGAGATGAATGGTAGGGATAATTAGGGATAAAAGGGATATTTTTGATCCGGGGAGAAAATAAAATTCTGATCAAATCTTTATTTTCTTAAAATGTTGTATTTAACAAACTTCACCAGGAGCTGCTGACGTCGCATACATTGGTGATGGTACAGCCCATATTGATGTTGGACGAGAAACTGCACTGATATTGCCTGGAATCTAAAAATTAAATTAAATTCAAGTAGTTAAAGAAAAGTACATTCATAGCTTCCACTTTTTACTATCCATTTCTATTTGCAAAGATTCATTTTAAACAATATCAATAGCATTCCAGCATACCTGTACAGTAATAGAGTTAAACTCAGCTTTGTCAATGTCAATTGCAAAAAGAATTGAACTTAAGCCTTAAAGAAGAAACAAGGAATGATAAAAAATCCATTATAGAAATATAAACAAGTTTATTCTTACCAGCAGCCATCATTGGTAACATACTAGATCGTTCATCATCCAATAATAATGCATCTTGCTCATAATACTGACTGAAATTAAAACAATTACACATCGTATAATTATTCTGACATCAACAGCTTACCAAGTTAAAAGAAAAATTGCATTACTATATTACAATTCATTGGAAAATCCTGACCAACTGAAAAGTTTATGAAAGAAAGCAATACAAAAATAGAAAGAAAAATGTCAGAACAAATTCATGGCATACAAAAAGGTTTTACCCACAAACATTCCTGGAATCATTTAGAAACCAACAACTTGAAACCTCTACCAACATCTGTCATTACATTATGTAAAGAATTATATGTCTTTATTTCACTAGAGCTAAGATGTTCCTTGATAAATAGCCAGAACACAGATTGACCTTCAGACCTCATTAACACCTGCCTTTAATGAACATAGAAATGATGAAAACAAATTATTTAAGAATGGCTTTTAAATTGACTGAATTGAGAGAGGGATGATAAAGATACCTTAAAGAATTTATCTTTTGTGGATTTAATGCCAAATTGAAGAACAATGTTCCATTGCTCACAAAGACAAGAGACTCTGTAATTCATCATAAGTACAAAGATTATGATAAATAAGGATTATACTATGAAATAAAATGAATACAATACAATGCAATCGAAGAAATATCAAGTTCACCTGCTATCCTTCTCAGAAGCCAATTCGGTTGTACTACCAAATCGATGCCTGACACTCAAGAAACGACGAGGTTCAAGTCGACCAAATCATTCGAGTAAAATCAATACAATAAAAGACGAAACGAAATTACAAGTTCCAAGTTCGAATATTACACTAAAGATGACAAATACTTTATGATCAATTGTTGAACTCCATCCAACAAGCGATCAATAATTGCTTGCTTTGTAATATCACACTTGCCAAGTTCAACATAATCTCCACTTGGAAAGAACATGTAAAAAATATTTTCATTTGAACAAGAAAAATAACTTAAAAATAACTAGATATTAACAAAGTATGTATACAAGCTTCACTTTATGTCGCTTGAAGATCCTCATATCAAATGTTATTACCCGTGATAGCGTCAAGAAAGTTAGAGAAAATACAAAGTGTTTTCTACATGTAAAAATATCCGATACGACAGTATTATTGAAGCAGTTCACAAAGAAGACAAATAATGACATTAAATATGGTTCAACGGCAATTATTGTTTATCAATCTGAACATTCAAATGAAGAACATGAAATGGAAACTAACGTTGATCAAATATCTAAAGCACTTTACATGTTTAAAGAGAGAGACGACGAAATCCAAATGACACATCTTGAAAAACCATAATACCAACAAACAAGACATGAAAAACATGACACATGCAATTTTCCAAAGTTATTTCCTGGAAAATACGATCTTGCTATAATAAATTTTCATCGAATTCTATATGAAAAGCTTGGTACAAAGATTCCACATTTTAAAAACACTGGAAGTATAAAAGCTAAAAATCAAAAAGCTCTGGAAATTCGTTAGGTCCAAATCATTATTGATGTCGCTGAAATAAAACAATAAAATGTTTAATAAAACTGGAAACTACGACAAAACTATAGAGTTTTATGAAAAAGCTCTGGAAATTCAAACACAATCGTTAGGTCCAAATCATGTTGATGTCGCTAGGTCTTTAAACAATCTTGGTAATGTGTATAATAAAACTGGAAACTACGACAAAGCTATAGAGTTTAAGAAAAAGCTCTGGAAATTCGAAACAATCGTTAGGTCCAAATCATGTTGATGTCGCTACGTCTTTAAACAATCTTGGTATCGTGTATAATGTTACTGGAAACAACAACAAAGCTATAGAGTTTCATGAAAAAGCTCTGGAAATTCGAAAACAATCGTTGGGTCCAAATCATGTTGATGTCGCTATGTCTTTAAACAATCTTGGTAATGTGTTTGCTAAAACTGGAAGTTACGACAAAGCTATAGAGTTTTACGAAAAAGCTCTGGAAATTCAAAAACAATCGTTAGGTCCAAATCATGTTGATGTCGCTATGTCTTTAAACAATCTTGGTAATGTGTTTGATAAAACTGGAAACTACGACAAAGCTATAGAGTTTGAAAAGCTCTGGAAATTCAAAACAATCGTTAGGTCCAAATCATGTTGATGTCGCTGGTCTTTAAACAATCTTGGTAAGTGTTACATGAAACTGGAAACTACGACAAAGCTATAGAACTTTATGAAAAAGCTCTGGAAATTCGAAAACAATCGTTAGGTCCAAATCATGTTGATGTCGCTACGTCTTTAAACAATCTTGGTACGGTGTTACATCAAACTGGAAACTACGACAAAGCTATAGAACTTTATGAAAAAGCTCTGGAAATTCGAAAACAATCGTTAGGTCCAAATCATGTTGATGTCGCTAGGTCTTTAAACAATCTTGGTAATGTGTTAATGAAACTGGAAACTACGACAAAGCTATAGAGCTTTATGAAAAAGCTCTGGAAATTCGAAAACAATCGTTAGGTCCAAATCATGTTGATGTCGCTGCGTCTTTATACAATCTTGGTATTGTGTATTATGATACTGGAAACTACGACAAAGCGATAGAGCTTTATGAAAAAGCTCTGGAAATTCGAAAACAATCGTTAGGTCCAAATCATGTTGATGTCGCTGCGTCTTTAAACAATCTTGGTATTGTGTATTATGAAACTGGAAACTACGACAAAGCTATAGAGCTTTATGAAAAAGCTCTGGAAATTCGAAAACAATCGTTAGGTCCAAATCATGTTGATGTCGCTGCGTCTTTAAACAATCTTGGTATTGTGTTAAAAAAAACTGGAAACTACGACAAAGCTATAGAGCTTTATGAAAAAGCTCTGGAAATTCGAAAACAATCGTTAGGTCCAAATCATGTTGATGTCGCTGCGTCTTTAAACAATCTTGGTTTGTGTTTAAAAACTGGAAACTACGACAAAGCTATAGAGTTTTGAAAAAGCTCTGGAAATTCGAAACAATCGTTAGGTCCAAATCATGTTGATGTCGCTGCGTCTTTAAACAATCTTGGTTTGTGTTTAAAAAAACTGGAAACTACGACAAAGCTATAGAGTTTTACGAAAAAGCTAAGAAAATTCGCAAAAAAAACGTTAGGAAGTAGTCAGGTTGATGTTGCTAAGTCTTTTAAACAATCTAGGTGTGTTGTATTATGAAACTCGGGAATATGACAAAGCTTTATATTTACACTTTGGTAACTACGTGTTTTAAAGAAAATTGTGCCTTCTAAATTATGTTAAGCCTATTTTTAACACATAGACCGTAGGAGCAAGGCTTCCACCTGCCAAGTCAGCTCCCCTCTCCCTCAGAAGGTATTTTTGGTAGTGAATAAAACGTTTGCAATTTGCATTTTGTGAGGTAAAATGAACCTAAAGATGTAAGTGTCCTTGTCTATATATAGTTTCACTGATATCTAGTCAATAAACTTACTCTACAGCTGGGAATCATCCTAAGTAGAACTTAGAACTGCCCATGCCCTGAATCTGACATTCTTCTTTAGACTTTATTTCTAAAGTAATTTGCTTTTATGTTATAACCAAGTAGTAATTTTTATTGTATGATTTACAAACATACTAAAGTATATTGGGATGACAGAATTTTGTTAAATAAATACTATCCTGTTAGTTGTTCATATTATTTGATAAATTCAGTAATTTTTTACCCAGTTCCATAAGCCTATGACCATATTCCAGGTTCCTGTAATTTCCAAGGGGTACACCTTTCATACCATACATACCACCCCACCATGCTACAGCCAATATTCCTGTACTGTCACTATCTCCACCATGAAACATAGAAAAAGAGCACAATTGAAACCAGGAATCTTTTGCCATCATCAAAGCATCGTAAGCAATCATTGGTGCATCATGACCACTGGACCCACCCCAACCTGCATAACTGACAGATTTATAAACAGCATCATGTTCAGGTATGTTATAATTCACTGGAAACTTTCGTTCATGGTTCCATTTGTTAATCCCAGTAGTTCAAGATATGACTCCCAACTGTTTTTAAAGTAGCCCCAAGATTTCTTGTTTTCTTCTACATCACGACCAACCTTCTCAATGTATTCCCAAACTTTGGGTAAAACACTTAAAAGTCCTGCTCCCCATTTTTTTGGAGCCATCTTCTGTATAGCATAGGCTGTAAATAAAGCTGCAGTAACAGCCCCAAGATAACCTATAATTAAAATCATTATCTTTAAAGATTGCTAATTTTAGGTCACTTACATTATGATGACCCTATTTACATAATAGCAGCATTTTGATATGGATCATGGATTGAATGGCTGTAGTAGTGAAGATATTAAAGCAAAACAGCAATGGCAATTCAAACAGTTTTTAGAAGACAGAAATTTGGAAATGTGGAAAAGCGATAAAAGGGATGGATCAAAGATATGGTCATTTAAAGTGAGCAATGTTAGAAGGATGGAGGCATTTGAGATGTGGTTCTAGAAAATGATGGATTGCATAGACTTATGCAAACCTAAGGTCAACCTTCTTTTATTTCATTTATAAATTGATATTAGATAAAAGGATATGAAACATTCATGGTAATGGCTTGTTAAGTAATCGAAGGAAGAGTTGAAGATAAAACATCTAAGAAAAGCAAAAGGATTGAAAAGCTAAATTACTATAAAGGTTTGTTAAAATGAAAAGCAATGCAGATAACAGGAAAACCTAGCAAACTTTATACAAAGCAACACTTGTTGATAGACAAAACACTAGACATTAGTGACTTGATAATTGATACATGATCTGAAATCGTTGCTTTATTATGAAAGGTGAATACCTGTGGGGTGATTATGAGTCATCCTTCCACTTTCAACAGCAATTTCAATTAACATTTCAATTTGATCTTCACAAGGAAACATCAAACCTATACACATGGATCTCATAGCTGCACCACATCCGCCACCTCGTTCATTAAATGGTATAATGTAACCTTTTTCCTCAAGAGGTTGTAACATGAAACATGCCTTTGTTGTGGTCTGCCCAGGAGCTCTTTCCCACATATCCTCAGCACATGTCTTCTTGTACTTTGTAGCCATAATGCTCAATAACTCTTCCGTTGTTGTCCATTCAGAAACCAACGCTTCTGCTGTAGCAATGTGTAGTACAGTGTCGTCACTAACCCTCCATCCTTTAATGTCAATTTTATCAAGTCCTCCGAGTTTTTCTAGTTCTTCATGAATTTGAGTACCACAGTAACAGAATTCCCACAAACCAATCTTATAACCTAGAGCATCTCCCACTCCACTGAGAACCATAACTGCTTCGTATTTCTCGGATAATTGGACCGTATTTTCAAGAGCCATTTTTAATGTTTACTTTACCGTAGTTTAATGAATTTTTTTGAAACACGAGAAAGTACTAAGCTTTCCTCAAATTAGTCAACTAATAAAAACGTAAAATCTTTTCTTTGCTTTGTTTCAATATTGTTTCATACTATTGTTTACATTTAGACGAGAGCGTTGGGAGACTGGGACTGTTATTTTGTAATCCTTAATCTTTACCCGATTCCATGATCTTCAATCTGATTAACATGTTGCTTCTTGCAAAGATTCTTTAAAACTTAAAAGTTCCTTCCTTATATCATGGATTATCCGACACGGATTTAATCCAAACTTGACAATTTGATTGCACATATACTAAAAAACAGTGTATTGGGAATCGAACCC